CAAAATCAATGCAGCCAAAATTAGGAGGAAAGCAGGAAACTTGGGGGGAAATTTCATATCAAGTCTCTCTAATAAAGGCCTCACTTCTCAAATATATAGGGAACTGAATCAAATTTATAAAACTATCAAATTTATAAAACTAAGAGCCATTTCCCAATGGATAAATGGTAAAAGGATATGAGCAGGCAGTTTTCAGAAGAAGAAATCAAAGCTATCGATATGTGAAAAAAAATCCTCTAAATCACTATTGATGAGAGAAATGCAAATTAAAACGGCTCTGAGGTAGTGCCTTACAACTAACATGACAGAAAAGGAAAATGACAAATGCTGGAGGGGAATGTGGAAAAATTGGGACACTAATGCACTGCTGGTAGAATTGTGAACTGGTCCAACCATTCTGGAGGGCAATTTGGAATTATGTCCAAAGGGCTATTGTTGTTTTTGGTGTTGAGTCATTTTCAGTCACGTCTGACCCTTAGTGACCCCATTTGGGGTTTTCTTGGCAAAGATAGTGGAGTGATTTGCCATTTCCTTCTCCAGCTTATTTTGCAGATGAGGAAACTGAGGCAAACAGGGTTAAGTGACTTGTCCAGGATCACATGGATAGTAAGTATCTGAGGCCAGATTTGAACTCAGTAAGATGAGTGTTTCTGATTCGAAGCCCAGTTTTCTATCCACTTTGACACCTAGGTTCCCTCAAAGGGCTATAAAACTGTGCACAACCTTGGACCTAGCAATACCGCTTCTAAGTCTGTATCCCAAAGAGATCAAAGAAAAGGGAAAAGGACCTATATGTACAAAAATATCAATCAGGGAATGGCTGAACAAGTTACGGTATATGAATGTGAAGAAATACTGTAAGAAATGATGATTAGGATGGTTTCAGAAAAACCTGGGAACACCTATATGAACTGATAAAAAATGAGGTGAGCAGAATCAGAAAAAACATCATACCCAGTAACTGCAATATTGCAACAACGATCAACCGTGTAAGACTTAGCTACTCTGATTTAATACAATGATCCAAGACAATTCCAAAGGACCCATGGTGAAAAATGCTATCCACCTCCAGATAGAGAACTAATGAACTCTGAATGCAGACTCAGCATATTTTTATCACTTTCTTTTTCTTGCCTTTTTTTTTTCAGCATGGCTAATACGGAAATGTTTTACGTTACTTCACATGTATAATTGATATATTGCTTGCCTTTTCAAAGTGTGGAGGGGCAGAAGGGAGGGAGAGAATCTGAAACTCAAAATGAAAAAAAAATGTTAAAAATCAATAAAGTTCAAAAAAAAAAATGCCTCAACTCATACTCCAAGACTTCCCAGGCTAATGACACCTTTCCATCCTGTTATTCTTGTCCTTTGTTTCCTAGCTTAGCAAACTCAAAGAATTCATTTCTAAGCTAGTCAACAAATAACAAACAAACGTTCGTTAAGCATTTACTACGTGTCAGTCACTAAACTAAGGTCCGAGGATACCAAAAAAAAAAAAAAAAAAAAAGGCAAACAATAGTCCCTGTTCACCAGGAGCTTACATTCTGTAAGAGAACCAACATGTAAAGGAATTGGTACACATAGATTCATATACGGTATTTGAAGACAATAACTCCTATATACAAAATTACTTATTTTTGTAGTAGGAAATAACTAGAAACTAAGGGCTGGGGTGTCCATTTGTCAGGGAATTCGCAGAACAAATTATGGTCTATGCATATAATGGAATATTATTAAATTGTCGGAAATGACAAAAGGGGTGGTTTCAGAGAAACCTACAAACACTTGTATGAAGTGATGCCGAGTGAAGTGAGAAGAACCAGAACAATTGATATAACATTATAAATAAAAATATCTCTAAAAAAAAAAAAAAAAGAATGTAAGCTCCTTGAGGGCAGACACTATCTCACTTTTGTCTTTGTATCCCTAGAGCCTAGCATAGTTCTTGGCATGCTGGAGGTACTTAATACGTGTTCATTAATTCTTTGGTCTCTATGCACATTAGTGAAGGAGAAGATTGTATTTACATTTTATCTATTTAAAAATAATTTTGATGTTTTCTGCTTCTTTATCAGCTACATTTTGTTTTTTTCACATACTTTTTTATTAATTTATTTTTAATTTTCAACAATCACTTCCATATGCTTTTGAGTTTTAAATTTTCTCCCCCTCCCTCCGCGAGACAGCATGCAATCTGATATAGGCTATACATTCCTGTTAAACATATTTTCACATTAGTCATGTTTTAAAGCAGAATTAGAATAGGAGGAACCACAAGAAAGAAGAAACAAAACACAACAGAAAAAAAAAAAAAAAACCCAGCAAATAGTATGTTTTGACCTGCATTTAAACTCCATAGCTCTTTCTCTGGATGTGGACAGCATGTTCCATCATGAGACTTTTGGACACGTTTTAGATCCTCACATTGTTTCAGTTACGTTTTCTCTTCAAAAACTCAACTTTTTTTTTTTTAATTTACAAGCACTTTTCTCACCCCGTTCCCCCATTGGGAGAACACCTCCCGGAAACAAACCCAAATCCTTGTAACAAATACTCATAGTCAAATAAAAGAAATCCAAATATCGGCCACACCAAAAAATGTATTTTATATCTCATTCTGCACCTCAAGTCTGTCATCCCTCCTTAAGGAGGTGAGTAGCACGCTTTTTTATCCTTTCTGGCAATGTCGTTACTGTAAAAATTGTTCTCCTGCATTCTCCTCCTCTTTATTCTGCTTCCGTTCCTACCAGACAAGTCTTCCCAGGTTTCTGTAAAACCGTACCTTTTGCCATTTTTAAGGGCATAATTATATTTTATTTCAATCATATACCATAGTCTGTTTAGCCATTCTCCAATTGATAGGTAGCCCCGTTAGCTTTTAGCCCCTTTTCCTTTTCTATTGCTCATTAGAGGATAGAGCCTTAGTAGTGGTTTTAGGCACAGTTTAGCGTTTGGGGACCTAGTGCCAAATTACTTTGTAGAGTGCTTACAGTTCTGACCACAGTCCATTCACGTGCCTGGTTTCCTACAGCTGCTCCAACATTTACCATTTGCCCTTTTCGGTCATCTGTGCCAATCTGACCGGTGGTAGGGGAACCTTGAAGCTATTTTAATTTGCATTTCTCTAATCGTTAACGATTTGGAGCATTCTCACCCATAACAGTAGCAAGCTAGCGTTTAGATAGTGCATGCTATTTGCCAGGCACTATGCTAAGGTCTTTGCAAATATTATCTCACTGGATCCTCACCAACCTTGGGAGGTAGGTAGGTGCCATTATGACCCCTATTTTACAAATGAGGATACTGAGGCAAACAGGTGTGGTGACTTGCCAAAGGTCACACCAGTATTACTGGCCTGAGGCGAGATTTGAACCAGGTCTTTCTGACTCCCAAGCCCAATCCTACACCACCTAGCTTGGATCTACCAGGTTTCTAGTTTGTTGCTACTTCACGAATAGCTTCTACCAATATTTTGATGTTTATTGTGGGTCTGTCTTTTTATCACTAACTTCCTTGGGGCATTGTATTGGCATTTGAAGCCTCGTTTGCAATCATGTATCTTCCAGGCCTTATCAAGTGAAAAAACTTTCCCTCGCCACAAGCCACAACGGGGCAAATACTGGGAGAAGGGATGGGTACTTGGCCCTCTCGTAGAGGGAGCACCCTTTCCAGGCTTGTCCCCAGGGCTGGAAGAGCCCTTACAAAGGTTTTTTTTTTTTTTTTCTTTTTAATCTAATCTAACTCTTTCCAGAACTGCAAACCGACCTTTCTAGAGTGATGTAAAGTTGGCAAATTGCATTATAATACATTATCTTTTTTGAGATTCACTACAACCCAACGAGGCAGCATACAAGTTTCCTGAAAACAGAAGATCAGAGACAGAAAGTAACCCAGCCAAGGTCACACAGCCAAGTAGGAAGCAAGCCCAAGACTAGTAGGAACCAGTTGGGTGCTCCACAAGTGAATTCTCAACATTGTGGTGAATTTGCCCTTCTCGTGCTGGCCCTCAGGCTGGCCCACAGCCTCTCGGCAGGTGGTGCGTCTCCTATGCTCAAAAGAAACGGAGGAACCTAGACTTCCCCGGGTTGCTCTCACACTTCGGGAAGCAGTCAATCCATCAGCACTGCTGAGGTGCCTACTGTGTGCCAGGCACTGAACTAAGCGATGGGGATACAAGGAGGGGCAAAAACCTGGTCCCTGTGGCCTGCGCGCAGCCCACTGGCAGGGCAGACCGCGCCTTGCTAGGTCCCCGGCAGCCTTCGGGCAGTGCACTTAACCTAGCATGCAGACAACGCGCATCGTTGACCGTCGGTCAGCGGTCTGGGCTGGGCTGGGCGGCGGGGGGCCGCCACGTGGATCGGCTGGCTCCGGCGGACCGGTGCGGGAGGCGGGGTCGGAGCGAGCCGGTCACCTACGTGACCTTGGCCAAGTCCCTGGCTCTCCCGGGGCCTCGGCGCTCAGCTCTAACGCTCAGTGACCGAGCAGGGCTAACGCAGCTCGCGGTGCCCACGCCCGCCTAGGGAGACCAGCCGTGACGTCTGGGGTGGGAGATGGGCGGGGAACGGGGTGGAGCTAGACTCTCCCGAAGAGTTTGTAGCGCTGGCCGAGTGGGGGGTGGGGGTGGGAAAAGGGACGTATGCGTGTGGGGGGCGGAGCGGGGCAATGTGCTCCGAGGGGCCCCGCGCTCTGGATGAGGCCTATTTAATAGCGGTCGTAGGGCGGTGGCTAAGCGGCATTCAGGGCGCCGGGCCCGGCGCTCGGGCGGAGCTTGCGCACCGTCGCCGTCGCCCGGAGCCCAGAGCGCACATTGGTTGGTCGATCGGCCAGTCAGTCAGTCGGGCAGCCGGGTGGGCGGGGCTCGCTCCGTCCTCCTCCCTCCTCAGATCTCCTCCCACTCTCCCACGTTCCGCCCCCCCCCTCCTCTTGTCCTCCCCCCCCCCCCCCCCCCCCCCCCCCCCCCCCTCCCCCCCCCCCCCCCCCCCCGCTGGGCCGCTCGGGCTCGCGCGCTGGGAGCGGGTGCGGAAAGATGTCGGACGCGGCGGTGGCGGACACTCGGCGCCTAAACTCGAAGCCTCAGGACCTGACGGACGCCTACGGGCCGCCAAGCAACTTCCTGGAGATCGACATCTTCAACCCGCAGACGGTGGGCGTGGGCCGAGCGCGCTTCACTACCTACGAGGTCCGGATGCGGGTGAGTGAGCGGGGCCCGGGGGTGCGGGCCCGGGAGGGGAGGGGGAGGGGGAGCGGGAGCGGGCGCGCGCCCCCGGCACCTCGCGCGCGCGCGCGCGCCCCTGCAGGGGTGGGGCCAGGAGGAGCCTCGGGACGGTTTGTCCCCTTCTTCCCACCCTGCCCTTCTCCCCCCTCTCCGGGCGCGAGCGCGGCGTGCGGGCACGAGCATGGCCCCGGGGCGCCGCCCGCTGCGTGCACGGCGGGGGAGCCGGGGCCTCGGAGCGGCTCCTGTCCGATCCGCGGGGCCCCCGCCCCCGCCCCCGCCCCCGCGATGGACTCCTTGGGCCTGTAGCTTCGGGCTGAGGTCGGGGCCCCCGAGGGCAAGGCGTGAGAGAACGGGCCCCTGGAAGCAGCCGGCTCGACGGCGGCCCGAAGTTTGGGGGCCGCGCCATCTTTGTGCACACCGTTCCCCAGGGCCTTTCTCGGGGCGGCGGGCCTGTGCACCCCCCATCTCCTTCCTGGCCCCAACCGTTGTGAGAGGGAGCAGAGTCCTGAAGCGTTCGGGACTTTGCGGGCTGCCCGATCGCCCCTCTCTCGAGCCGGGAGGGCTGTGACAGGTCATCGAGGCGTCCGGGAAACTGAGGCAGCCCCCCCAGACGTGACGCCGCGTCCAGGCCGCGCGGCCCAGCAGGAGCTCGTGCACTGGCTGCAGAGGCCGGCCTTCCCAAAGTTAGATTTGGAATCCTCCGCGCCGCGCCGCGTCGCGTCGTGCTGCGCCGCGCCGCGCCGCGCCGGGGGAAGTGTCCGATCGAAGTGCCCCCAGCGCACTGATTGGACGCGTCCTTCTAAGTCTGCAACGTGGCCTTGCGAATTTTTGTACTAGGACTTTTTTTTTTTTTTTTTTTCTCTCCATCCTGTGATTTAGTGAGTGCTTTGATTCTCCAAAGAGAAGAGAGTTTCGGGGCTATGTTGTAAATAACTTTTTGTCCTAGCCCTGGTCGGGAGGAAGAGATTCTCCTCTATGGAGTCTCCTTGACTAGACTTGGGAAAAAACCAACGCTAACAAGTTACCAGTGTGTCAACACTTACTGCTCACTCCATTTTCATCGTTCCTTCCCACTCTGCAGCGTGAGGGGCTTACACTGTAAAGTCTTATTTAAATTCTTGGTTTATAGAATGGTGCTTTCCACTTTTTTATGCTCATGGCTGCCAAAACCCTCTTACTTTTGTAAATTCAGTGTTTATTTTTAGTTATTTTGTAGTTATAGATATCTATAATCATAGTAGCTGTATGCACACTTATTTTATTGTTAGTTGTTTTCAGTTCCAGATTCTCTCCTTCCACCCATTGAGAAACCAAGAAAAATAAAGCCCATAAAATTGTGTAGTCAGGCAAAACAGAATTCTGCCCTCTGAGTCCCTCAGTCTGGAGGGGGCAGTGTGTTTCATCAGGAGTCCCTTGCACACTGTGCTTGGCTCCATTGTGTTCATCTGAGTCCCTAAGCCATTCAGAGTCGTGGGTCTTTCCAGTATCTTTGTTTACTGTGTAACTTATTCTCCAGGTTCTGCAGAGCCTTCTTCATATCACTGAACTCTCACCTTTTTGGGAGGACTTTTTTGCAGCAACAAGGTCATTTAACTGGTCACCAGTGGGTGCTTTGGGAAAGTCGACTCAAAATTTTGACACTGGTTTTTTCTCTTTCCTTCCTTTTTGTAAACAACTGGATGTTTCTGCCACCATCCCTCCTTATTCAGGAGGGAATCCTAAATTCACGGAAAATAGGAGTTTGTTTTTGACATCTGATTTGTGAGTTAGACCTGAGAGGAAATGACCCTCCTATGCCGCAGTCCCTCTATTAGGTAGGTAGGCAGGCAGGCAGGCAGGCAGGCAGGGAAATGTCATTCCTCAATCAGAGGAAGCATGCAGAATGCTAGCTGGTGATTAGCGGCTCCTTGCAGTGGTTTTCCTTTTCTTAGTTCTCCTGCTGGCACCTCTTATGGCAGTATAATATTCAGGAAGCTACCTGAATTTCTCAGCTCTTCCCAAGTAAGAAGGTTCAGGAAAAGAATTAGATGGTGGCCTAGGTGCTCAGTCATTTTTCCTTACAGGGTTACTAGGTAGCGAATTAAAGATAACAGCACCTTTTTGTAGAAGAGTTTAAAATAACTCTTTATACACGCCTCCTTATGCCCTGAAATGGCACCATAGTGACTACAGTCTGACCCAAGGTTCCATTTTGGGTTATTCGACCCTGAAGCTGACTCAGGAGAAGGCAACCTCCAGCCTCACAGATTCCAAAGTACTCTTTAAGAAACGTGTTAGGCTGGGGCGGCTAGGTGGCACAGTGGATAGAGCACTGGCCCTGAAGTCAGGAGGACCTGAGTTCAAATTCGGCCTCAGACCAAACCCTTGACACTTACCAGCTGGGTGACCCTGGGCAAGTCACTTAACCCCAATTGCCTAAAAACTTTAAAAAAAAAAAAAGAAAAGAAAAAGAAACATGTCAGGCTATAAGAGGAAGGGGAACCCTGAAATAAGATTCCTAGATACCCTGTTCCGGCTATTGGGGGCTAGGAAAAAGGATAGAAGGTGACTTTTCTCAGTTCCACACTTTGCCCTAAATTGGTTAATGGGAAACACAGCCATCTCACGTAGCTGTTTCTACCTAGGACCTGTTGGCCAAACTCTTTGCCTATGATAGTCACCCAACTGGGGGTGCCACAGTGCACAGAGAGCCAGGCTTGGAATCAGGAAGGCCTGAATTCAGATCCAGCCTCAGACACTGACTAGCTGTGTGACCTTAGGCAAGCCACTTCATCTCTGACTGCCTCAGTTTCCTCACCTGTTACATGAGGATAATAACAGCACCTACCTCCCGGGGTCGTGAAGATCAAATGAGATCATCTTGGTAAAATGTTTAGCATAATGCTTAGCACACAGTAGGTGCTTAATAAATGCCTATTTCCTTCCTTTCTTCAGCCATAGCTGCCCAATTACCTCAAGATCCCGAGGACCTTTCGAATGATTAGGAGCTAGGACTGAGCTGGTTGCTATTGTGGAACAATCTGTAGAAAACTAGTTTGTCTAACAGCTCTTTCCCATGACGTTTTCAGAGTAGGGGAGGATCTTGGCTAAATTGTTAGCTAGGGCATGGCATCAGCAGTCAGTCAACCTAGTTTGTGAATGCCCACTACATCTTCAGCACTACTGTAGGCACCATCAAATCTCCCCAAAGTCGAAGCTTGTTCTCCGCCATCTAGAGGCTTACAGTGTAATTGAGGGGAAGGCTCTGACATGTCACAGCAGTGAAGATGGTGCAGTACTGTATTGTAGAAGGGCTAAATTGGTTGGTACAGCCTGAATAGTGTCAGAGTTCCAAGGAGGTCGGTGAGAGCTGCTGGACTAGTCTGAAGAGGGTGCCTGGAAGAGGTGAGGTTGGGATAGGGGTGGAGGGCATAACTTTGTTGAGGTTCAATTCCTCTTCCATTCAGGGAATTTCTAAGGCCCGAGTACGGCACGGGTTGGGCGTGGACAAGGGTTAGCATTTCTGCTTTGGTGCTCTGAGAAGGGAGCCAGGAACATAGAACTGACCAAACCGCATCTCTGTTAGAACCTGCTTGTATGTGCGGGGATGGGCTGACAGTTCCTTCCTCCTCCCCTCTTTCATTCCTCCTCTCCCTACAGACAAACCTCCCTATCTTCAAGCTGAAGGAGTCATGTGTTCGGCGGCGCTACAGTGACTTTGAGTGGCTAAAGAATGAACTGGAGCGGGACAGTAAGGTGTGCCCCCCCCCCCCCCCCCCCCCCCCCCCCCCCGGCGGCGGGGGGGGGGGCCAGGGGGCACTATTCGAACAGAAAAAACAGAAAAAAACAAACAAGGTTGGCGTGGCGTAAGACACCGC